TTCATGCTTTATATGTTCATTTTGACCGCGGGAAGTAAGAATCCAAACTATAACCAATCGGCATCACTATAGCACTAGATTATTGAAATGACTAGTAACCCTTAATTAGTTAATTGAGTAGTTTATATACATTCAATACAAGGGTATGTATTATGTGGATAGCTAGGAGACACTCACATGTTCAAGAACTAATAACATGATCACAACTTGTAATTTGATTTGCCATCAATATTTATTGGGCTTGAACTTAGTACTTTGTGCATGTTTGGTCTACATGCATTTCAATATTTTGATTTGTGTTGCACTCATAGATAAAGGATAAGTTAGCTGAATTGTCTGCGGAGGGTTGCAAAGCTGAGAAAGGTGACCCTCTCCCCGTTGGAGTGGTGAATATGAAGGAACTAATGCAGGGTGAGGATAGGTATTTCAGATATGTTGGGTCTCTCACCGCACCTCCATGCACGGAGAATGTGATCTGGAACATTCTTGGCGAGGTATTCCATCTTCTCACATATGGAAAATAGTAAATTTTAATTTCACATTATGTTTACGCAACAAGAGTTACTTATTCATATACTCCGAGATGTCCCGCAGATAAGAGAAATGACAAAGGAGCAGGCTGTTGCTTTGATGGCTCCTTTGGAGAAGAGTTACAGGCAGAACAGTAGGCCGTTACAATCACTGAATGGTCGCACTGTGCAACTCTATGACATGTCACACAATCAAAATACACGTTAGCCTACTGATGTTCGATCCACGGTGAACTATTATACTCGTTAGCCTACTAAAGTTCGATCCACAGTGAACTATTTTGTTTGATGCCAATCCTGAACGCTGAAGAAAGTGTAAGTTCACATGATAGGTTGCAATAAAATGTAGCCAGAAATGTTGTGCTAGACCATGGTCCAGACGGATCTATGCTTGGTGTCTGCATGTGAGGTCTCCATGTTCTCGGTTGCAACTAAACCGTAGCTACGATCGCTGTCGTTTGTGGTCCCGACGCAACGCGTCATCGATTGTACTGCACAAAGAATTACTACAGAGGATCTCAACAACCCACATGCAGTCCATTTTGTGATGTCGATTCCTAAACCGTGTGAAAAAATAGCTGCTGAAATGGTAGTTGAATTGATAGCCACAAGATAATATTAAAATACACGAGCGAAAATATAGACGATCTCTATGCATAGACAGACTGTTGAAAAAATTGCTTGTGCATATGAGAAAATCCTTTTTGACCATTATTTATATGAACGCACAGACAACCAAATATACACAAGCCGTTGGAGATGCTCTTGCTACTTGCAAAATGAAACGGGACGTCTACAAATTTGGCTCGGGCGGTCATTTTAGTCCGGCTCTAGAATTTTTGCTAGCACCCCCCAATCCATCTTCAAGTTGCATCCATCACACGGTGATACTGATGCGTAAAGAGTAACGAAGACGGCGCGGAGCACGTGCAACAATACCTTGCTCTGAACCCCAGCCCGTCAAGTGCTGCCCCAAAAGTGGCGGCCACATGGTACCTGCACGTGAAAATCCTCTCACACCCCACCATCTGCATCGATCGATCGATCGGTCGGCAAGACCCTGGACGCTTTTACGGTCAGCAGTGAGCGAATATGTGATCGGTACTTTGAACCCAAAAGCCAGCCTCTTGGACTTGGAGGTGAGAGGCTTCCAAAAACCTGCCGACATGGACAGCAACGGCGCGATGCCGATGCGGCAACGCACGTACGCGGCCGGTTTCGGTTTAGTTGGTTGATGCTTGACGCAGCACGTAAAGTTCACATCGATCATGAGGCCCCGAGCGCAGGGGCACCGTACGTGACTGCAGCAGAGCCGTCGTGGAGACCCGGCCCTGTGTCTGAAGCCAGGTGCCAAACTGCCAACGACTCCCATGCAGCATGCATCCGTCCGTCCGTCAGACCCGTTCCTCGGCTCGTTTGGCCGGTTTGCCGCATGCATACGCGGGCCGTCGCCGTCACGCCCGCTGTCCTTGTTCGCCAGGACAAACGGTCGACGGCCAACGGAATTGAGATAAGCTTGCCGTTGGTCCGGTCCCCGGCCGATCGATGTGGACACGCCGTTAGAGCAATTTTAACTGGGCGACCCATTTCGTCCGTCCATGTTCGTTTGGCTCGCCACGGACCAAAACGTGCACGGACCCAAACACAAAACGCGTCTGTTTCATGTTTGCGCCGACACATTTCAAGCCCAAAATTAAGTCTATAAAAAGTCGGTGCGGGTTTGGGTCTGTGCTTTGGGCCGGCGTTTTGGTCCACGACGATCCAAATGAACGTGGGCGGACAAAATGGGTCGCCCGGTTGGAGGCCGGCCAATGACCAAACACGGTCGTATTAATAGCGGCCACCGACACCGGGCCCACGCGTCAGCCAATGAAAGCGTCGGGCGGGCATCCTTTTTTAATCCGCGTGTGCGGGGTGGGGGGGAGGGGAGGCTCATCCACTTTTACATTCGTCCACATCTAGGCGACAACAACCAAACCCTAGCCATGGATTTATTCAGCGGCTCCGGCAAGAGCAAGGGGAAGTTCACCCCCGGCGCTTCCTCCTCCCGCACTCTTCCTTCTCCGTTGCCGCTCGCCCGCCCCGTGAGGCAGCGGTTGCACATCCCGATGCACCAAGCACAGTGGCACTGGGAGTTTAGGCAGCCGCTGCCGCACGACTGGCATCTCGATCCGCAGTGGATCCCGGTGTCGCAGTCACAGCGGGTGCATGTCGAGGAGGTGCGCATGCGTCTGGTCGCAGCTCACGCCGGAGCAGCGACGTATGCCAGAGCATACGGCGGACTCTCCCCATTGGGAGGTCTGGTTTGCCCTCGAGCACAAGGAGCAACCGCGGCTCAGCTGCAGCATCACCACGTCAACCCCCTGCCTCCCCCAGTCGTCAAGCCGAAGGAGCAGGAGGAGGAGGCTGCCAACCAGGCGACGCTGGCGGCTCCCTTGGAGACCTCCATCGAGGAGGAGCGGCTGAAGGCGGAAGCGGACTACCAGGTGAGGCTGGCGGAGGTCTTCGCCCTCTCTGTGGCCGACGACTGCATGGGTTCACCGCCGACGTCGCTCACCCCTCCGACGCTTAAGCCCGAGTTGGCCAACTGGTACGTCTGGACCGGCCAGCTGCGGGAGTGGGTTAGCGCCCCCACCCCCCTCCCCCCTTTGGCTCGGCGCAACGCCGGCGCAGGAGACTACATACCTCGAGCATTGGAGGTTGCGTGCGCTGGTGAAGGAGTGCGCTGAGGCGAGCGACGCATGCAGAGGGAGCATGAGGAGGAGGAGGACCGCTACCAGAAGGAGGAGGAGTGCGCCTGCCTCGCTGCATTGTCGTCACCACAACAGATGCTGGAGGAGGCAGCCCTGGCGGCCTATCAAGCTGCATTCGGCTGGGCTGGGCCGCCTCCCGTCTTCATTGACCTCATCGGCGGCGACGATGACGACAAGGGCAAGGCGGACGACTAGGGCAATATGCAGACGGTTTTTTTTTTAATTAACTGTTTAAGAGGACTTTGGCCTGCGTTGACCGGCCACTTATGTTTAATTAAATGTGTCTAAATTTATTTTAGTCATGCGGGTCAAAAATGGGTCGCGTTGGGCACACCTACCGACCCAAAACAAAAAGTGGACGCACACGTCCGTCTGGTCGACCCAAACAAACGAAAGCAGACAAAACGTGTGTCCGTTCGGGTCGGCGCGTTAGAGTTGCTCTTAATTAGACGACCACGTCCATGCTTTCACCATTATACTCTATTTGTGTACATCAGTGTTATACTATACTAGATGATACCTCACACATTGTTGCGGAAATATTATGCAACACATTTCAGTATGATTCATTGTATGAAACATGAATATTTGAAGCAATAATATAAAAGGTTAAAACTAAAAATACATATAATTTATTATGTTTGACTATTATATAAATGTAAAATGTAGAAATAGCATACTAGAATGAAAATTCTCATGTCTGTTTGCATGGTGAGATGTGTCTTTTTCATGCATATTTCATGATCAAGTGGCATGATTGCATGTAAAAAGACATATGATAGTGGGAGTGTGCCTTTTCTTATACATGTTGTGTGATGACGTGGCATGCTTGCATGTTGAGAGAAATAATTAGTGAGGGCTAGCTATTTAGATATACTCCTGAAAGATTACCATAGTGCGGTTTTTTTTTGAGACGATTCTACCATAGTGCGTGTGATGGTGAGGTTAGCTTACCACCCAGCCCAACCAACCCAACCAACGAGATCTAACGCAAGTACGGTGTGGGCAGAGTGTGCAGACATGTTGCGTCCAATAGCACAAGTGCAGTTGGCTTTATCGCCATCTATCTCGTCTCCCAGTGACCCAGTGCCAACGATGCGTTGCTTACCTTTCGCTTTAACTTTCACAACCGGTAAAGAGAACGAGAACAGAAGAGGAGACGAGAGCAACACTTTGGCCGTTTGCCGCAACGGCACCGTTGGGCCGAGCCACCGGGTCAACATCACCGCCGAAGGCATCATCAGGTCAGGCCGGACAGATGGCTGGCCTGCGGCGCAAGTCCTCCCTATCGATCTATCTTCTCCGGCGGTGACATCACGCCGCCGCCGCCACGGGTGGATTTTTCCGACGCGTTGAAGTTTGGACAGAAGACACTGAAAACGGCTAGGCGAGTCGAGCTTAATGATGGCATCGACCCCAACCACCCTGGACGGCCATGCCGCGCGTGCTGTACCATGCCATACCATCGAGCGTTCGTATCGTACGAGCATCTTAACTGCAGAGGATTCGATCCAGCATGTTTGTAGATGAGCAGATTGATGAACTGACAATGATGCAGTACTGTATTCAATGTTTTCACTTGTAGTTACTTAGTACGAAGAAGGAAGAAGAAATCAACAACGGGAGAGATTTGTCTATAGTTCTATACACCGAATGATGCTAGCAGTCTCCCAATGGGCGCCAATGGATGGATGTGAGCCGGGTCGCCGGCGTCACGTCAGAAGAGGTTGAGGACCTCGCGGATGGCGGCGTTGCAGAGCGGGCAGCGGCCGCGGCCGGCGCGGACCTCGCGGGCGCAGGCGCGGCAGAAGGTGTGGCCGCAGGGGACGAAGGCCGCGCCCTTGCGCCGCGCCATGCACACGCAGCACCGCCCGCCCACACCCCTCCCGCTCCCCGCCTCCCCCTCCTCCGCCGCCGCTTCCTGGTCCACGCGCGTCCACGCCCCGGCGCGCGCCGCCGCCGTCGTCCACTGCCGCTCCGCCTGCTCCAGCAGCGCCATCAGCGACACCCGCCGCTCCTCCCCCTGCCCGGGCGACGCCGCCCCCGGCAACGCTCCCGCCACGGTCACCGCGGGCTCCGCGGCGCGCGTGGAGGAGGGGGGAGCGGCGTCGTCCTCGGGGCCGCGGATGACGTCGAGGAGCGTGCGGCGCCTGGCGGGCCGCGCGCCGTCGCCCTCGCCGTCGTCGTCGCGGAGCTTGAGAAGGTCCCGGAGGTTGGAGGACGCGGCGAGCTGCTCCGCCAGCGTGACGCCGCCGCGCCGGGACGGCACCGCCCTCGGCGCCCCCTCCATCAGCGCGCGCGCGAGGCCGCTCGGGTCAGGAGGAGCGCCCTACGCCACGCTAGCTCACGCTACGCGTATGTGGACTGACTCACTCGGGACACACACGCACCGTACGTAACAAGAGCACGAGTCGCGCGCCTAAATACTCCTCCTCGTATTGGACTAGTATAAGTGCTGGTACTAGTAGTACAGTACTGTACCCAGGTAGACTCTTGTGGTTGGATCGGCCATTGTCCGGTGCAGTTGGAGCGAGCGCGCTTCTCTGCGTCCAAATGGCCAAGTTGCGCGCGCGCGGTCGGGCGGCGACGGCGGACGGTTCCGGCGTCGAGTCCGGACTCTCGCGAGCGGCGACTGACTTTCGTCGCCGTTCTGCTGGCCGTAGGGTCGGCACGGTTCTGACGAGCGGTTTAGCCGCCGGATCGTGTGGTTGGCGCGGCGCGGCGACCGAGCTCGGGGTGGTGGTTTGCCGTTTGCCGGACGGACGAGGCGGCAGCATTTGTCAAACGTTGCAGCTGCGTCTTGGGACGGACGGACCTCGGGATGTCGTGTCACGTGGATTCTCAAAGTGCGACCGCGATCTAGGACCTTTGCTCGGCTTTCCCACGTGCCGCGGCGTAGATCGCAAGCTCGTCGATCGCAGCCATCTGCCTCGCGCTTGCCGTCAGATTTGCGGCCGGTCGCGCGGAGAGATCTGCCTGCCACGTTCTACCGTCAGATTTTTATCCGTTTGAGTCGGTCCAACAAACATCAATGTCCGCTTCCGTGTTTGGATCGACGCATACGCCCAACGCTGATCAGACCCATTTCGACGTTGCGCGAAAAAACCCCACAAATATTTCAAAAATAAAAATAACAGTTTTGCTAAAACACATCTAGATTTGACATAAGTATTACACATCTAAGTCATATGTCATTGATTTTACATTGAGATTCGTGTGAATCCTAAAAATAAACATTAATTAAACATTAAAGCCGGCCACAAAGGCCGGCAAGAGTCCATGTGTCCATATTATATTAATTAAATATTAAAAAAAACTTAAATCGTGCGCACTCCATTTCAGCGCGGACACATTTTCGATTTGGGTCAGGGCGTTGAGCCTTCACTTTTGTCCGCGCCGACCCAAACGGACGCAGGCGGACATTTTGGGTCTGTGCGTTGGAGTTGCTCTAAGTGACATGGTTGATCAGGAATAAAGTCTATTTTAAACCCTAAGAGCATCTTCAAGATGTGCGTAACCACACGGCGCCCTAAAATAAGCTTACAACGTTGAAATAGTAACTTTTTGCGCGTCGCAGAGCGCTGGCTCCAACACCGCTGCAAAAAATTGCGTGCGCAAGCAGCTGACGCTGGCAACATGTTCATTTTGATAATATGAGATATTTGTCGTCAAAGAGCGATGTATGTTCCAGTTTGCACTGCGATATCACATGTGCCTTCCGCCAACGCCTATCCGCCCGGTCATCATGGCGCTTTGCCCTCCTCTTCGCCCAGAAGGCGTTCTCGTCGGCGACGTTCTGCGGGTAGCGTTAGCGCCACTCCACCATGGTTAGCTCGTCCGCCTCCGCGATGAGGAGGTGGCACTGTCGTCTGCGGTGTTCGTTACGATCCTCGTCGGTTACTAGACGCAACGGAGGGGCGAGGTTCTGCGCCTGCTGGCACGTCTGCGCGTCGTCGAAGTTTATCTGCGAGCGTGGCCTGGAGAGGCGCCAAGCTCCCACGTCGTACGCGCGGACGGCCTCTTGCGCGGTCTCGAACTTCCTGAGACCGAGACGCACGTGTAGAATGCGCCGGAAGAGCGGTCGCGGACGCCGCGGTAGCCCGAGCTGCTCCAGCGACACGGCGGCATGTCGGCGGCGGTGGGGGAGAGGGGAGGGGCACCGGATGCGAGGAAGAAGGGGGCGGTGTGAGCGCTCGAGTGTCTGATTGGCTGGCATCGGCACGCGTGTTTTATAGAGCGCGCTGGGCCGGTTTTTCGGTGCGCACGGTCTTTTCCCGTGTGCCGGGATCTTCCGCGCCCGCTGAAGCGCGCGAAACCGCTTCGCGCGCGTTAATACTCACGTTTCCCACGCGCGTGTTTTTTACCGCCATTGTTGGAGATGCTCTAAGAGCATCTCCAACAGGCGCCGGTCGCGCCGCGCGCAAAAAACAGATATGCCGCGCGCGCATCGGCTGGTTTGGCGCGGCACGCAGTGCTGGCTCCAGCAGCCGCGCTAAAATGCAGCGCGCGCGCGCCGCTCCAGCAGCGCGTAAAAATGCAACGCGCGACTCGCCGGTGTATTGCATATGGCATTTTCAACATAAAATGATAAACATTTTCCAACACAATAAAATTTCGCACAAACAAGTTGATGAAGTTCATGCCCACAAGTTTAAAATAATGCCCACAAGTTCATCCAACCAAGTTCAAAATGCAAATCAAGTTCAATACACAAATGAAAGACACATCATTCCTCGTCCTCGTCTTCGTCTTCGTCCTCGTCCTCATCTTCGGAAGACGATTCTTCCGCCTCCGAAGATGAATCTTCCTCCCTCTCCTCATCGCGCACCGCATCACGTGAAGCTCCGACGGTGTTGGCAAGATCTTCAACGGCATCTTCATGGGAATGTGTGCGAGGAGGCACATCGAAAGACATTCCACCCATGGCGGCCGGAGGTGCACCCATGCCTCTCATGAGAGAAGCAAAACTCATGCCTCCCATGGTGGCCATAGCGTCGGTGGGGGGGGGGGGGTGCTCCAAAGCCAGGCATGCCTCCCATTGCACGTAAACCGCCCACGGTACCTCCGAAGCCACCCATGCCACCCATGGCGCCGAGGCCACCGCCACCCATTGCACGAACCATGGCTCTTTTTTGGATCAAGACTTCTTCTTGGGCAAGATTGACATACTCCTTTTGCGCCCCATTGAGGTTAGTTGTGTCCAAGAAGAACAAGTGCTTCTCCCATTCCAACAACCTAGTTCGCTCCTCATTGCTCATCTTCCTCTCCTCCAAAGCCACCTTCCTCTCCTCGGCCGCCAACCTCCTCTCCTCGGCCTCGGCATCTTGGGTCCTTGCCATTTTCCTCACCTCGTTGGCTTCTTTTCTTGCCTTCACAATAGCTTCCATAGCATTTTTGAGCTCATCATCTCCTTTCCTCTTCTTCTTTTCGGTTTTGTCTTTCTTGGACCCATCCGGCCGCTTTGGCTTCGAGTATGAAACCGAGTTGGGTGTGGGGCTTCTCTTGCCGTCATCATTTGATGCATCATCCTCCTCATCGTCATCATCCAACTTAATTGTTCGCTTCCGTTTGTCGCTCAAACGCAAATCATCCAAATCTTCACGCTTCTTCCATTTCTCATCATCCTTCAACACTTCATAGCAATGAGGCAAAGTAAATACCCTTCCTTTCTTGATCTTCCCCTTCTTGGTTTTCCTCTCCTCTTCTTTGAACAAGTTTTGCGCAATGTTGAACTACATGAAAACAAAGCAAGTTAGCACCAACAACAAGCAAAACAAAGCAAGTTAGCACCAACATGTAAGATGAAATGGCACTTACTCTATCGTCCTCATTTGTGCCACTTGGGTTCAACTTGTCAACCGTCTTTTGACATGCCGCCCACCTGTGACAATCCGAGTTTATTGTCGACCACCGGGACCTAAGTGATCGGTTGGAGCGGTCAATTCCACTCACGTTGCGAGCATCAAAATGTTCCTTCATCCGGTTTCAATAAGCATCTCTACTTTGATCACCTCCAATGGATGGATCCCTCGACACTTGCAACCAAGTATTGCATAGTAAGATGTCATCGGCGTTGGTGTAATTGCCCGCTCTTCCTATCGGTGCGTCGACAATGCCCTCACCCTCCTCGTCCACCTCGAACTCATGGTCTTCAAAATGCATGTCATTTGTTTGAGACCAATGCGAATTGTTGGAGCCAACACCCATCGTTGACATGTATGCATCATCATTGAGACTACAAATTTTTTTGCACAATGCAAATAAGCTATCTATATGTGACGAATGCATTCAAAAAATAACAAAAAAAAAATGAAAAGTTAGAATTTTTTTACCTTGGAGGCATTTCGTCGAACATGTTGTGCGCGCCGGCCGCCGGCTCAACGAGTGAGCTTGCCGGCGCTTCGGCAGCCGCCGCGCCCGTCGCACGCCCCGCAAGCTTCTTCCTCCTCGCCTTGGAGGTGCCGGAGCCGTCCGCCGCCTTGTTTTTCTTCGCTGATGGCTTGCCCTTCTTTGGCCGCGCCGCATTGGGGAGCTTTGAGGAGGAGGGGGCGGCGGCTCGGGCCGGCGCCGGCGCGATGCCACCCGCCGCCGAGGTCATCCGCGGCGGCATGAAGAGGCCGCGTGCGAGGCCGC